AGCATTGTGTGTATACCCTGCTGGAACTCAATTTTGGCAGCTAGAATGTTGGCGGAGTAATAGAAGCATGTTAACAATCGTAAGAAAAGAACAGAACAGAGTGCCTTTGTTACGTATTTGTACGGGAAGGTTGGGGAAGGTTGATTTCATGTTGTATATAATAAAATTAATATGGTTTGTAGACGAGAAAGTTATGAAGGATGCTGTCGTGACATACTGATTTTGTGTATTTTGTTAATTTGGGAGTAATCTATTTAAGTTAAAATATATTGTTATTTGTAATTTGGTCGAGCATACTTACTGCTCAGATTATGGATTACTGTGATGTTATAAGCTAGTTGTGAACTGTTGTGGGCATGTAAATTATCTCTGAGCTAGGGAGTCGAGACGTTATGGCAGTAATTGAATCTGTTTTTTTCAATATTCGTAAATGACCTACCAACTTATGCAAAGTGGTTTTATATGCAAATGATACTGCAGTATCTTGTGCAGCAGATAATGTAAATATTATTCAGAAGTCTTTATTGAGTGACTTTTTATTATTATGTAAATAGAATAATTATAACCTTTAAAAGACTAAATCAATGATTTTGGGAACACACAACACGCAGTCACCTATACTGTTTAAATGCATGCACAATATTCTACCATTGTATTTGTCATCACAATTCCAAGAATCATATATTCGTAAACAACCCACTCGCTGTACCAGAGCTGTGACAAATAGTAAATTGATGTTACCTTTTGTCTGATTAGAAAAAGGAAAACATACATTTTAACATGTTGAAATACAATTACTAGATGACATTTGTATTTTTTAAATTGTAGTATGTTTTAAAAAGTATTTTATTGTATGTAATTATTTTATTAACTTTAATCTTGTTAATTTAATTTATTAATGTATATATTTCATGTATATTTTATGCAGGACTCTTTTTGGAAGGAAAAGAATGCATTATCCTGGTTAAATATGGTGGAATAATAAATAAAAGAACCGTGATTGACCTGAGGGCCGATTTTGGTCTACGTTTTACACTTGTTGTAGAGTGTGAAAGGAACCGTCTCACACGTGGTTGCTGCACTTGCTGTCGCTGTGTGTTGATTGTGTGTTCGCCGCTGATTGCATGGCTATCTTGCTCTTCTTTTCGGAGTCTTGCAAGTGAACTGGCCGACCAATGAATTCATGAATTCCGAAGTGGGTTATTGCTCGTAAGTGAAACAGTAGTTTCGCAAAGTGTAAGTACAGTGCATACCTCGCCAAGGCCACGGACTCTCGCCGAACTACTAGATGAGCAGACTGGCACCAGCATAAGAACCTTATTTGTTTTACTATCAT